TAGATGTATAAATTTTGTAAATTGTAATACATATCTTTATTAACTTTTTCTTCTTTATTATTTGATTCAACAGAAAATTTGGCTGGGATTCTTGTTCTTTATAATTGGAAGTTTCAAGTTGAAGAACATATGCTCAAAATCCAGGTTTTATTGTTCTTTGTTAATTAGTTTTATTGTTTTTGATTATGTTGTGTTTATTATAAAAATTAAAATATGTTTCCTAAGAAACAACTTTCCGGAAATCTCAAGAGACAAAGAAAGAAAAAAGAAGAAGAAATTGCTCAAAGTTTAAGAGGATCTTTGAATAAATATTTTGTTCAACAAACCAATGCTTCACTTGAAAATTTAGATGAAGATTTGCCAAATGAATATGAACAACCAATTCAATTGGAAGAATTAGCAGAAAATGAGAATGATGTGAATGAAGAAATTGGTGATCTAGATGAAAATGAAAATATTGATGAACCTTGCCATGAAAATGAATGTCCCGAATTGAGTAGGGATGCACAAAGTTTAGCATTAGGAGAGCTTTCAAGTTTTGAATTTATATTAAGTTTGGTTGTTTGGCATGACATTTTGCATAAGATTAACTTAGTTAGTAAAAAGTTACAATTTGAAGACATGCGTTTTTCTAAATTAAAAGTATTGAAATCTTACGTGTAGACCACCATGACTCAAGATAGGCTAAATGGATTAGCGATATTATGCATTGAAAAGGATATTTTAGAAAACATTAAATATGATAGTATAATTGATGATTTTGCATCTAAAAGTGCAACAAGAAGACATTTTAAATGATGTTTTGTGGTTGAGATTTCATTGCTATTTTTATTTTGTAGGTACATGTGATGATTTTTTGCTTTGATTAATTGTGGAGGATGAAAAGAAGATTGATCAAATCAAGAAATGCTTACGGAGATTGGGGAGGAAGCATGTAGACTGAAATATGTAGTTTTTGTTTTTTAATACAATGTTTACAATGTGTGGTACTCTTTTTCCTTCGTTTGGGGTTTTGTCCCATTGGGTTTTCCCCAAACAAGGTTTTAATGAGGCCCCAAAGTGCTCTTCCTTATCTTTTGTAAATTCTTATAATTTTAATAAAATTAATTAGTTGACATATATATATTTGTGTTTAATTTGTATAAAGGGGCACACTTGAGAAAATTTGCCCTGGGCCTTACTTTTCAGCAATCCGAGTACGTATCTGAAATTTCAGCAAACCATGGGCGCAAGGCTTTGGGGACTTTCATCGAACAGGTTGGGGTCGCGCAGCTGCTGGCCAAGGGGTTGCCTGGGACCTCGACACCCTGATGGTAATATGCTTTATCTTTGACAATATCACTCTCTCTTTCTCATTGTTTTGTTGAGCTGAGTAAGCAAGAAAATAATTTTCTTTTAAGTTGTTTCTGTTGATTTACTAGTTTCATTATTTTGTTCTGCATTTACACTAAATAAAATTCCATTATTTAAGAACATGAAGTGGAAATAATCATATGAATAGCGTCTCCTTGTTTATCGTTTTTTTGCCAATTGATTTTCTATATTGATTTTTAAGAGATTTGAAAGTATCCTTATGGCTGTAATTAATTAGTACTCAAATCCTGAGTCACCTTGCACTTTGTTTCAATGAATCACATCACATTCTAGAATAATCTGTTATTAATGTCCTCTGAAACAGGTGCTGATGTTGTTCTGTGCATAGAAAAGGCATTAGCTCAGTCTTGGGTGTCAAGGGAATATGATTACATCAACGCACTACACACCGGCTGGAGGCCCGGAGACCTCAAAGAGTATAATGCTCTTATTCATTGTTTTGGCCAGAATCCTGAGGTAACCAAAATGCATAACATGTATTTTCTGTTTTCCTACTGTCATGTATGTATTCCCATGCTTGATATCATCTCTACTCTAATGTTTACAGTTGAGAGTAAACTCTACAAAATCCATCATTGCTCACCTACTTGGAGCAGCTGGTACTGTAGAAGCTGTTGCACCACTACAGGTAACTTATGTGATGTTTTTATCTTGGAAGTACTGTATAATTTGAAGTCTTGTTTGTAAAGACCAGATACAACTTAGTAATTTGAAGTACCTGGAAGTACTTACTTAGTACTGTATAATTTGAAGTCTTGTATGCAAAGACCAAATACAACTTAGTTGCTGGTTTATTCATGACACCTGAGAAATTCAATTTTGACGACTACCTGGAATCAGAACTTTCAAGGGACTTTGGTGGGATAGAAAGGCTTGACATGTTGTTCCCATTTAACCCATGCCTGCCAAAGTAAAAGTGACAGGTTTGTATCAGGAGTTTCCTTTCTCCCTAAAATCACATGTAACATTGGAAAAACTCTGGTTGGATGCCTGAAATGGACAGGAATCATGATAATATTAGTTGTAAAAATGCATTCCTTTGAACAGAAAAATTGGGACACCCCAGCCCTTTTTGGGAAATACAAATAAGTCCCTACATCGAAGTGTCTTGTTTGATGATCTGTTCACGTCCACATTTGTTTTTGGTAGTTTTAGATGAATGCCTTGCTGACACTAATTTTTTCTCTGTACGAAGTTACATCCTGCCAAACTTCATTTTCTGGTCAATGGTTCAACCCACATATGATGACAAAGATTCGAGTGATGAAGATGTCGGCGAAGCTTTTGCGGGTGACAAAGATGGTGGAATGGATTATGGGATTATGCAAAGCTTGGAGGAACAACATTTTGATTTTGCTGAAGTTGGCTCTGCATTGAACAAAATGTCAATCACACCAAAGGATTCCTTACATAGTAGGTTTGGTGGTGCAATAAACCAACCCATGCGAATGCCCTCGAGAATTAGACCGTCAACTTGTCCGGAGTCTTTGTAAATTGAAAGTGTGTAACCCCTCTTTACTTTTGTGGAAGATGCAAACTGCAAAACTGTATTGGTTGTACAACAGACATTATGATGGCCTCAGAGGATTGTGGCAAGCTGATGATGAGTGAGATGCGTAGTCGTAGACTTCCTTTTCAAGTTTCTTTTATTTATACATTCATTTATGTGGGGTATTATGGAGCCTTGCTTTTCTGCCCTCAATGGACTTAATCAGAACGTGTGGTATGCCAATATGCCTCCTGATGAGGTTGTTTTAAAGTTGTTGATAGAATTTTTGTGCCCATTTGAATTGGGGCAAAATTGGGTGGATGCAGCAATTAACCCAGTTCAATATATTATAGGGATCTTAATTTCTCACCTGCAAGGCTTGATGATCCCATCCCAAGTGTTGCTTCAACAAACCCTTTGGAACCCAGAAACAAATAGTTATGTAACTAGTTATTCTTTTATCCGGATGTCCGCACGTTATTATCGTGCGGATTCTATTGTAAATAGGCAGGGAAGCAGAGAGGGGTAGTACAAAATACATGGCGTCCGCACGATAATAACGTCCGGATGTCCGCATAAGAGAATTTCTGGTTATGTAACAACAAATTAACACTACAATGCGATCAATGAGAGAAAGGAGTAACAAAATTGAAAACAAAAACTTAAAACTGAAATCTTTTTGAAATTGTTTTTACTTTTCAAGTTTTTATTTTCACTTTTATTTAAAACTTAAAATAATTTCTTCAAAATTATCTCATCCTCTCTCTCATCTCATTCTCACTCCCATTTTCACTCTCATTTTTCTTAATACTTTATCACAAAATATGAAAACCAAAAATTAAAATTGAAATGGTTATTGAATGGCCTTTCGTTTTTACTTTCACATTTGTAGGAGGGGTTTCATCAATTAACAGACAAGGCAACAACACGAACCAATTGGCGAACAACACGAACCAATTAGTGAGTACTGTAGCAAACAAAAGGATATCTTGTAAAATGAGAATCGAACCCGCTCTCATGGCCTGCAGCGGCGGCATTCCTCAGCTCTCTCAGACTCATCGACTCTCTGGCCTTCCGTTTTACCGCCAAAGCTTTTCGCGCTTTCCCCAAGGCGCTTACGACGTCGTTCCCAGTTCGTTCCACCCAGCAAGCTTTTCACGAAGTTCTCACTTGTGCCTCCGACGATGATGTCTTCACTTGGGACGACGTCGTTAGGATATCCAAACCGGAAACCCTTTCCGACGACCCTTCAGATCTCAGGGGCTACTCGGAAAAGATCAAAATCTGCAATCGCAGACTGGTAAGTTATACAATACATTTTCTCAGCTGCCAAACAGACCAATTGTTCGTTTATATCTCCACTCCACATTTTATTAAAACTGCTTGCAGGAATCGCAATCTGAGTTCCTTTCCTTTGTAATTGAGGACCAAATCGTTGGTTACATTCACAAAGGGTAAGCTCAAATTCCGTGAATTCAAATACCCGTTTCATGCTCAGATATAGGTGTAGTGTAGCACTGAATAATTTTCCCAATTCTGTAGTTTTGCTGAGAATTTACGTTGTTTCAAGGACGTGTTTACTTTCCCACCAGAAAATTCAAACTCTAATGGCAGTTCATTAACCTTGCATTCATCGCTGAGCACAGCTGAGGACAGGACGAGAGCGGTGGGAGATGTAATCAAAAGCTTAGGGGAAGAACATATTCCAGGTATAAGGAATGAGGTACTGTTTGTGCTAACTGAATCAAATCCTATATGTATGTCCTTCTAATTTCACCCCAATTGTTGGAACAGTATAAACTATTAACACTAGTTTTGTTATCTGGGCTAACTATGGTTTCATTTTATTTGGATGATCAGCTATACCCTGTGACATCATCCTTTGGGTCACCCATATTTTTCTCTCTAGAACGTGCAGCTGCTCCTTATTTTGGAATAAAGGTTTGTTTCTGCGATTTGCGCCACCATTTTACCTTGGTCTAGGTGATTAAACAGTGAATTATAATCAATTTTTGATGCATCTCTAGCAAGTCATTTTAGCTATATTAATCTGTGTGATAAATGGAAACTGGCTCATTGGATTAATATCGACATCGAGGTTCTGTGAAGGGGCTTGATAATGAGGTTTTGGAGGTGACTGTGTGTGCTATAGTGTTGGCTAGAGAGGAATATAAGATTTTTGGTAGGGTTAGAAATTTCAGTGGTAGGCATTGAAGGGTTAATTAGTCTGGTCGCTTTTTCAATGGTCTCATAGGAAGCCAGCTAAGTCTTTTATTGTTGTTCATTTGATTTTCTTGCAACTTTCATTTTTAACATTCTTTTATGTATACTTCTTGTTGGAATAGGCTTATGGAGTGCAAATGAATGGCTATGTTGAAAAGGATGGGAAGAAGTTTCTATGGATAGGGAAGAGAAGTCAACAGAAAACCACTTATCCAGGGATGCTTGATCAACTAGTTGCTGGGGGACTGGTTTGTAACGAGCCTCTCAACTCACTTTAAGGCATTTTAGTTTCCATTCTATCAGTATTCAGGCTGTCAAAGGGAGCTTGCTATAGTTTAGTTTGCTTTTGGCAGCTATAGTAACTTCTATTACATGACATGTTCCTAGATTAGACGGCTCTGTTGCAACCTACTGTCAATGTAATTGGTGAAAATACTTGACCAAGAACTGGCTGGATTTTATGGTTGTAATCTGAGGCAAGTGGAAGAGCAAGTGGTTCTTCCTTGCCTGATATTTAGAGGCCTACTTTAAGCTTAGCAAATGCAAGTGGCAGGTTTCTTGATTCCCAATCTTGGAAAATAAGTTATCAAAAATGATAAAGTTTATACAATCCTTTCTTCGTTAAGCCTATTTTCTAGTTAGCAATGATCTTAATGCATTTCTGAGCTAGAATTTTATTATGTATCCCCTGTTTGTAATTGCAGCCTCATGGGGTTGCATGTGGGGACAATGTTGTAAAGGAATGTGAAGAGGAAGCCGGAATACCCAGTTCCATTTCTAGTGTGTAAGTTTTTGTTAACCATTAAATTATCAGTATATTATCTTATATAGGGCATGCCTTGTTTGGCTATGAAATTTAACTTTATTTGGCTAACTCACTGCCTCACGGCCTCAATTTTGAAATTGTTTTTATTGCAAAATCTCTCCCTCTCCCACTTGTAATAAAAAGGGGTTACCAGTGCCTCGATAAAGTAGTATCAATTTTCTCGGTTATCTGTTTAACCAGTTACATATTCTTCATATCCAGACTTAGGAGGACTACCACGCCCATAAGTTCTGTTTGATAATATTTCACCCCATCGTCATCATGCTTTTGCCTTATTGGGAGATGCAAGAGATGGGCACACCCATCTCCTATTGATAAACCACATTTCCGAGAGATGCAAGACCATATACTGCCTAACTGTTGCAAGGCCAATGATCCCGAGCTTGATATTCATCATTACATCTCCCATGTCGTTGCTCGGTAGTAGTCAAATACAGGGTGCACCTATCCAACAACATGCATCTAGCAAGCCTGTCATGACATTCTCTTTGCATCTTCTTCACAAAATTTATTCAACAGAGGCAGGAGTCATTCAGCCACCAATGATTCCAACCTATCATCTCCCACAGCAGCCATCTTGAAATGAGGCTTAGAGGGAAACACAAAAGTAGTAGACGAAGCAACTGAGGGCTGAAACCCAGTTGAATATCTAACTGAGGTTAACGTAAATCTTGGTAGCTGTTGTGCACCCGAGGCAAGTGGCACAAGCTTGTATCTGATGATGTTCTCAGACTTTGGAAGAATAAAAATGGCATCATTGTGAGACCCAGCTAATACAAAACTTTGTGCATCTGCCAATGAAATTTTGGCTTCCTGAAGCAATTCTGTCTGGTTCTGAATTCTAAAAAAATATGTGAAAGGATCTCCAAGGATTGCATAAGGAGGGCGCTCCAAACTCACCACCAGAGGTGATAACTCTAGATTAAGATCAGGAAGTCTGTGTGTAGTTAAAACCGAAGCTTTAGAACCAGACTGCACTTCAGACCCAGAATCCCTTCTCCATGTAAGACACACATTACCTAACTTAAGCTTTGAAGAATTCATCTCAGAAGTGACAGTGTAAACCTTCTTGAACTCTTCTCCTGGAACGAGAAGGGCAGGGTCCAAAAGGTCCTTACCTCCATGTTGCACAGAACATTACCATCTACTTCAAGGAATAATGATAGCAACTGAAGCGGCACGTCAGAACAGTTGTTAGCACTGACAACAAGTACACTTGTTTCGTTTGATGGCATTGATGCTGACTGATCAGTATCAGGAACTGGCCTTATCCTAGAAAGCAACAATGGGTACCGCCGGAATGGAAGCATAAAACGATGACTAATTATGATTGCATTCTTTCCTTCAATCTGCAAGCTCTTGTGGACATTAACCTTTTGTGCATTTGATTCATTGGTCTCTGGAGAATAACCCAATGATACATAGAGCATAACTGGTTTGGGTCTGTGCCACTTGATTTCCATTCTATCAGTATTCAGGCTGTCATTGGTCCTATCAAAGATACTAAGCTGAATTCCTGGTACACAGAGGAGGCATGCACGTAAGGAATTTAATTATCAAGCATAATGCAATGACTCAAAACTTGGCTATTAAGACAATTGAGCAATAAGTTGTCCAAGCTGGCCAAAGTCATATAATAATTACTATCAGTGGATCAGAAAAATATGTTCCATAAACCGAAACTAACTTTTTATAATGTTCTGTTGGCAAAGGGAAAAAGAAGAAACGGACCTAACTAAGTTGATTCTGGAAGCAGTTTATTCTAACAACAACTGATAACTTCACAAGATTAGGGAGGCATATCAAAATTTACACTCAGATATCCTAACATTTCAATGATACATCAGGTAATATCTGCTGCTTGCATATCAAAATGAAACCTAATGTATAATCAAACATTGTAGAGTGCAGAACATAAGCTTCATCTTACCAGATTTGATGTTATATGTCAATCGCAGCCATTTATTTGTAGAAAGTGCCAAAGAAGGAGCAGTCTCTATTCGGCGACCTGGTTGACCGTCAATCATGGCAGCTACATTAGGCCTTTGGCCATTCATGATGATGAAGTTACAATCGGACTGATTGAACTGGACTTCTAACTGATCAATCTCGAAATTCAGAGGTAATTGTGACATAAGTGACAACGTAATCAGTGTGGATGAGCCAGGCTTGTTTATTAATTGCTGTCGAATTTCCAAACAACTTCTATCGCCCATGGGGTTGAGACTATTTTTATTGCATTTTCTCTGAATGCAACGGTAAACTAAAAACTCCAATTTTGTCCTCAAATGCAAATTGCAAAGTTTCATTGGGTTGAAATGCAAATTAAATTAGGTTAGACCAAAATTTAATAGTCTCCCCGCGTTTAAAAGGGGGAGGGCTCCAACGGAGTTAGTTATCTATCCATACATACAAAAAGGAGGTCGTTTTTTTCGAAACCCTGGTTTTTTGAGGTTTACCGCGCATCCTCACTGACAAATTGCAGGAGGATCCGTAGGGCTAGGGCAAGTTAACAATGGGCGTTGTGCTTAGGGACGACGAGGCAGCTTTCCGTAAGATGGGAGACCATGATTTGATCGATTCTTACCTGGTTTATCGCGCCAGAGATACTCTCTGCTCTGTCTCGTCGGTAAGCATTTTCGAACTAGCAAGTTGGGTTTTGGTACGATTTTGATTGTTTGGTTCGGATTTCAGCTTGAAAAGTTTGAACCTTTGGCTCAGGCTGATACCGAAGATTACCGGCAGCTCCTTAGCGCTATGAACCCCGAAGAGCTTGGCGCTAATGAAGTAGCTATGCTTGTGGTATGTAACATGTTCGTGCCTATAATCATTCAAAATATAAATTGGTTATGAGTTTAAGGACTATTTGAGTAAATAATCCTCAATAGAAACAACTTAAAAGAAAATTATTTTCTTTCTTACTCAACTCAACAAAACAATGAGAAAAGAGTGATATTGTCAACGATAAAACATATTACCATCATCTCAAGCAACCCCATTTGCTAGCAGATGTGCAACCCCAAGCTGTTCGATAAAAGTCCCTAAAGCTTTGTGCTAATGGTTGGCTGAAATTTCAGAATTGGCAGAAATTGAAAAGGAGAAGAAGAACGTCAAGGCAGAAAGTGGCTGAGAGTCAATCCTTGAGGATGTACTGTCCCGCTTGCCTGTGAAGTCTATGCCGAGGTTCCAGGTGGTATGCAAGAGGTGGCTCTCCCTCACGAGAACACCTAGCTTCATGAAGCTGCACAATCAACACTTGGGTCTCCGAAAAAGGCCAAAGTTTCACTTGCTGCTAACTATAGTCTTTGAAGCCCGATTAGAGATGGTATTTTGTCGCATAGAGGTGGATCCGGTAAAAAATACAGCCCAAGCAGACGAAATTATGACGGTTCCACACAATCTTATTGAAGGAGAAGTAGAGAAAAATGACATGCCTCATGGTTTAGTTAGCTTTTACTTTCAAGCTGTAAATTGCTTCGTATGTAGTTTTGGATCTACTGACGTGTCGTATCGGGTGGATATAGTTAAATCGTATACCCGAACCCTGATCACCCTTCCGGAGTGTCCTCCAATGTATCAGCAGTTCATAGGGCCCCGGGAGTTTATGTTATCTGACAGTTTCGAACAAAATGAAATTGCGTTGCATTTCGAATAAAATGAAATTGCGTTTTATTTCGAATATGATCTACACCACCAGCAATACAAGGTGCTATAAGCCCAATGGGGTTTCGAAAAGCCATGGAGACGTCCGTTCAATAAGAAAATGACATGGCTTGGTGTTCTCGATTTCAAACTTGCCATCTTTACTTTGGGATCAAA